GTAATAAAATGCATTTATCTTCGTTAGTTTAGTATTATCTAGTTTTGCCGCCCACTATTACAGTTTCTTAAAGGACCTTCTTACGAATTCTGTTTTAAAAGGAGATATATGCAAGCAATGATGGTAAGAAGCGTGAAATAAGTTTGTAATAAAAGGAATAATGCAAAGAAATTATGGTAACAATATTTGGTAATCGTAACTGTTGAACATGCTGAGTGACATTTAAAGATGAATTTACGAAAATCTGTTTAAAAATGCATAAGAACATCAGGATGCTATTTGCAAATTATCTTTATCTAAAGAAAGCCACGTAACTCACATATTTGGTAGAATGAAACGATTTTTTAAAAAGATGAATCATACAATAGTCTTAAACATACATTTTTCAATCCTTTTAAAATGTCACATAACATTTACTAATTTCTTCAATTATAATGAAAAAAAATATCGCTGTAAAGAAATAAAAGAAATATAAAAAAAGAAATATATATTAAACGTTGTGAATATGAATTATAATTTTTTCTAGATATTTTGCAATTTTTACGGGATCTTTTTCGAGACTTGGTGTACAGTCCGCAAAAAAAAAAAAAGATATCACCCTGAATAACTTTCGTTCTAATGATCGGATTTTCACGAACTAAAAGTCAATCTTAATGTTTCCCGGGGGTGACCTCAAATATACTAATTAATTAGTGCTAACTATTAATTAAGTTACGAAATCAGACACAAAAACGTACTTTCTCTGAATAAACATACATTTTTTTTCTTCNACTAATTAATTAGCATATTTGAGGTCACCCCCAGGAACCATTAAGATTGACACTTAGTTCGTGAAAATCCGATCATTAGAACGAAAGTTATTCAAGGTGATATCTTTTTTTTTTTTTGCAGACTGTACAACCCTGCATATAATTAAAATAATGCACATATGGTTTTAGTATTAAATCTTCGTTATAAAGAAGTTAAAAACAACTTCAATCCAAATGATACCTTATAAAAATTTCTTGCGTTCAAATACAAAAATCTTGGAAAATTATAAATAATTTATAAATCAATTCAAATTTTATTTTTAAAGGAGATTAAAACGAAAGCAAACTTTACTTTTTGGGCAGTAATCAATTGAAAACAAATCTGTTGCCTATTAATTTTAAGATATTTTTCGATGAATTATTTTTATTTTTCATTTTTGAAAAGCATTTCCGACCCGAGCTAACATAAAAAGGAAGAATAACATTCTTTCTTCATATTTCATTCTTTTTTTATTCTCTCAGCCTGGTTGCTTAGAAACGGAGTATTTCTCTCCCTTCAATTACGAGGCTAGACTATTGTTATATTAAATTTCTAATTCTGCTTTGGTGGTAATTCTTGGCATCTTTTTGGGACGACGCTAAATGTATAAAACTTTACAGCGCCTTAAATTTTGATCCATTTTTTTCAATTTTGTCTTCCCCTCCCCCTAATTTGAGGGTTAAGATTCCAAATATGTAAAAAGAGAATGTTTATTCAGAGAAAGTGCGTTTTTGTGTCTGATTTCGTAATTTAATTAATAGTTAGAACTAGTTAATTAGCATATTTGAAGTCACCCCCAGAAACCAAGTGCGTGAAAATCCGATCATTAGGAGCGACAGTTATTCAGGGTGTTCCTTTTTTTTTGCCGACTGTACTATAAGAATTTTTAGATTGAAATTCTTACAAATACATTAAAAGTAATGCTACATGTTTAAAATTAAATTTTTTTTTCTATAAAATGGTTTAGAAATTTAATTGCTGCCGTTTTAATTTAAGCTGGAAAAATTTTTATTTTGCAATTTAAGCAAATAAAAATTTAATATTAGCTTTATAAATTTTTAAAAAAACTTTTAACTCAGTATTAATAGAAAAGATACAACATTTACTTAATAAATCTTTCTAAATTAATTTAAATCTAAATTAAGATTATATATCTGGTACCATATGTATTTTTTCCCGAAATTGGTATAAATAAAATGGTACGTTACCTTCTTTAGCTAACGCATCTAGAGTTGCTTACGAAACAAAACCTCCATTTTTACGTTCTACTACTTTTTTTAAGAAAATCGATATTTTAAAAGAGCTATTCAAAGTTTCTAGAAAATCGAGATCGATAATATTTTAAAAGAAAGATTGCTTTATTACAACTTTATTTTTTTTACCTACCTCTGAACTGATTAATTTAACATGAGAAAATCAAAATGGCCTTTACCATACATCAATCTAAACAAAAACATGCAACTTGATTTAGTAATTTTTAGTTAATTAACTTCATTAGAAAAAACGAGGTTTTGTAGTAGTGTTCAAAATGTGTCTGTGCAAACGTTTTTAGATTTTTTTGCAAGCTACTCTGCAAGCAAATTATGCCTATTTGTGATTTTGAGCATTGCATTTGGCACGATAGCTTTAGGTTGGCGAAATCCTTTAGTTGCAGATTCCACCAGGACAACTTATTCTTTGTCCTGGAGTGCAAGTCTTTTACCCTAAAATTTGATTCCACACAATCGAGCCATCATTGTTTTGATCATCCCCGAAACCCAACGTATTATTCGTCTTTAGTTTAACTATTAAAATTAATTTCGTTTTGTCTAAAAACCTTAAGGTTTGTATATTAGCTTAAGGTGTACCTTAAGGTGTGTACCTTAAGGTGTGTATATTTATGTCAGTAACGGTCCATGTTGCTGGAAAAAAATAACTCTAAAGTGAATCGTAAATTCGAGAATTCAAAATTAACTCGAAAGAAAATATAAAATTGCTTATGAGCTACCATTTCTTATTGGTTTGTTTAAAAAAAAACAATAAGAGATATGTAGGAGCAAAAATTAAAAGAAAGGATTCAAGGTTTAGGGTATTTTAAAATTAAATTCAAACGTATGATAGTTTTAATAATTCAAAACGGTATTGTGTATAAAAAAATCTTGAAATAAAATTCCGTAGTAGAACAGCTGCTCCAAAAATAGTTCAAGATAATGAGAGAAAATGTTTAGAAATTCTGTTGGTCGGGGCACTAATTAGTAATATTCAAAGAAAGATACAAATTGAAAGTAACAGTCGACTTGTTTCAAGTGCTTAATAGGAGCGCATTTTCAAGAAACACGTCAACTGTTATTTCCAATTCGTATTTATTTTTGAAGCGAGTGAAGTTTTTAATCAAGTAAACTTGTCCCTTGTTTGTTGCTTGATCTAGGAATTTATCTTTTCGTGATTTGAAATTCAAATTATGGGGGTTCCAGCTAAAGGGATTCAAGTTATTGGGTTCAAATCACAAAGCTCAAAATCATGATAAATAACATCAAATCTGCAATAAGAATCTTCTGTTCAACATTGGATCACATGAAATTTCTCACCGAGTATCGAAAAGTTTGAGATTGTATTAAGTTAGATATCATGGCACTTAAATTATGCTATATAGTCAGTTTGATTAAAAATTAAACTCTGATAAATAAAACATTTTTCATTTAATAAATCATCATAGTATTAAAAGATTTTTTACTGAAATATAATAAAATATCCTACGTTTTACATAAGCTATATTAATAAATACTATTGACCATTTAAATAATTNGCTATTGAACATTTAAATAATTCAAAGGTAAAAATAATTATTAAGTCTACTATTAGAAAATGTCTCTATGTAATAGCAAAGATTTAGATTGATGAACCAGTCATATCAAATTTTTATTAATAACTTTTCTTCATCTAAATTCAGTTTATAAATATCGAAGAATTTTTTTTTCCTTTTATATAAGTGTACAATAAACTCCCATATAACTCTTTTCTTGAAAAATCACAATCGTATCTTGTAAAATCTTGTAAATTGCTTGTCAATAAATATTAGTCTTGTAAATTGTTTGTTCGATAGAAAATTCTGTTATTTTTATATTATGTAACCGTCTTTGAGCTTCCAATCCAGTTTTGGGTTTGCAACTACCAATGTTCAACTCCGTAGAGTTGTAATTTTGAATCTAATCCAGAAGCGAGGGAACTCCTGGATCAAGAATTAGGAGAAATTTCCCTTTGTGGAGGCGTTTTTTTGATGGAACTAACCTGCATTCATGTTACATGGACAGGAAAGCCACGAAAATCTCCCACTTTTACACTGATGGCAAGGAGACTCTGAACTATGATACGTCTGCCACTGACGATATTTTACGTCAGCTCTTAGGTCGTTGCGAGCCGGGTGCGGAATTCAAATAGACCAGCCCAGCCATCGCTGGTATGTGAACCCGAGTCACCTCATTGGGAGTGTTGTTTTTTTAAATTAGGTGTTTTTAAAAAGTGCTTAATTTTCCCTTTTCAAAATGGGGATTTTTTCTTTACTATGTTGATTTTCGCCATGTATTATGCAAAAGCGTGGTTTTCACATTGTTCTATTCAACGTTTTTACAGTTCATTCAAACATACTGCATTTCGGCTTACCGTCGTCCGTAGCGTATGAAAACACCAATCATTTTACATGCTTGACGGAAACATGAGTGTCCACTTATACTGAGTTGAGTTTGGTGAGATTCTTGCACTCCCATATACAACTCTGCTGCATTTTGCACGATATTCTCAATTTCAGGATTTATAACCCCCCGTCTGAAATCGAACCGAAAAATATCTCGATTTTTTTAGGGTGGCTAATGTAATCAATATAGTATTGTATATAGTGCTTAAAAATATTTTTGAGTGCTTAAAAAGTACATAAAAGGTGCTTATTTTTTGTTGAAAGATTTGTCTACTCACCCTGCCCTAGTCTTATTGAAATCAAAGGGATCGGACAAAAAGTGATCTGACTCTTTGAATTTGCTCAATGAAAATATTAGTTAATAGCTACAAAAATCTTTCATGAAATACTTTTCAATGGTTTAGTTATTTATGTTCAGGACGTAAAATATTGTTTAATCCCTCATTTTAAATAAACCAAATGAAAAACCCATTTAAACCTTAAAGAATAGTTTTTGTCTTTTTATTTATGTTAATTGATTTGTGTCGTATTTGTCTTGCAGAAAAGAATAAGATGACTCTCTGCACGCCTCTGTTTGGATTGGTATATTTATTTAAATCGCACTGGAGCTGCACGATGGACTCTGTAGATTGAGCTGGATAAAGATAAGCACATTTTTACATAATTTGTTATCCATTATTTATCATAATTAAATGTGATCTATTATTACTAGTTAATCGGCTTCATTTTCAAGGTTATATTAATTTTCTTTAAAAAGTCTTAAGTTTCTCTTTTTTCTTAAGAAAATAATACATACAGCAAACATTAGTATAACGTAAAAATTCTATTTTTCGCCCCTTTTGAGGTAGGAATTTATTGTTTACCCATTCTTAATCCCTTTGGAATCGGTGGAAGAGAGAGGCGCGCCCCTCGGCCAATACGTTCCAACAGAATAGTTTGTTCACCAGAAGTTTGCTCCGCCTTCATCACGTGGTATCCGACGATACTATTTCGCTATTTTGTGAGATGAATGTGAACAATCCTGAAAAGGTTGCTATTTGGCTATCCTATGACAAAAATATTTATTTCGCAATCTTTATGTGCATTTTTTTTAACAGTAAATATTTCATAAATTTGATATTTCTCTCTTTTGGGTGAATAATTTGACCTTTTTGAGACATTTAGGTGGGAAAACAGCAGTTTTTAAATTTAAAATATATTTAATTAGCTAGAGTAACGAGTGGTATGGTAGAAGATGATAAAGCTATGTAAGTGGCAGAAAAAAATTCACTGTTTGTGTTTGGAGCACATTAAAGGTTGTCTCAATTTCAAGCACGGAGATGTTTCTCCTCTTACTCCCGCTCTGAAATAAACTCTGCGTCTGATGAGGTGGAGCTAAGGACCAACTCCTGGTGAACGAACTATATATGTGCTGATAACAGAACACCGAATTGAGATCATGCCCGAGTGATCTTGGGCCGTTAGAGTCGGATAGGCCTGATTCATGTATGGTCAGTGGAAGTAGACATGTGATCACGTTTCCGAAGTTGCTGATAATTAAAGATATAATAGCAAATGTATGAGGCGATGAGAAAGACGTGGTTTTGACTTTAATAACATGGTTTCGTATTCAACGCAGCGCTGCTTTTGACATCAGTGGCTTATCCATCTGATGGTGATAATAATAGTAAAATTGTGAATACATTGCTTTCATATTTAAATTTTTAAAGAAAGAGTAAAATTATGATTTTTGATTTTCTACTTCCTTGAAATCGATCATTCTTTGGCTCGATTAAAGCTTCTATTTTTGATAATTGCTTGCAACTCGGATTTAACGAGTTCCTTGATTTAACGAGTGGATCATGTAATTCATTCTTCTTAGGATCGGTTCTTAAAATATGTGGTGCCTCAATCTTGAGATAATTGGCACCGTCTCTGAATTATATCTTAGACAATATGGTCAAAATAGTTTAGTCAAAAGACAGTTCTAAAGTATGAGTCTCTTAATGTCATTTTCGATTATGGTGTTTCACCTACCTCAAGCAAAGTTTGTTTGATTTCCCCCCTCCCCACTAAACCAATTTTTTCCCTCAAAAATAATTTCATAATAAAGTTTAGTTATTCAATTAAGAGATTGATAAATTTCGATAATACGTAAAAATTCTTTAATGCCATATCTGACTTTGAAATTTTTTAATGTCAAAAACTGATATGAGTAGGATTTTTATTGTAAAACTACTTTAGCGAAGGAGAGAAAAAAAAAATAAAACGAGCATGGGCTTTTAAAATTGTTTGGCTCGCCCCTCCCCCCCCCAACTTTGTAAGATATTTTTTCCAACGCTCTTTAGATATTTTTTACAAGCGTTTAATTAACCATTTTTACCTTGGACGATTTTTAAATAAAAATCTTTAAAAAAAAATCTTACAATAACCTAATCGTTTGGGTTTTTAATATCAAATTTCATTAAGATTGAAAATTGGTTGGTAAAAAAAGTTAATCTGACTTGAAATGAAAAACTCAGTTTCACATTCTGAAAAGTAGAAAAGATTCATGAAATTTCTGCAATTTGTATCTACAATTCTTTTTTTTTCGAACTGGAAGTTTAACATAAGACGCTCGGTGGCTGAGCGGTAGCGCTTTGCGCTGTCGTGCCACAAGTTCATGATTCAATTCTCGATCCGGGCAAGGTTGACTCAGCCTTTCATCCCTTCAGTGGGTCGAAAATTAGTACAAAGCATGCTTGGGAACTAACCACTGGGGGTTCCACGTTCGGCTGACCACCTGACCGGAACATCTGCTTCCGCCTGGCCCTTAGCCCAAGGTCAAGAAAACTGAGATGGGCACAGTAGGCCTTTACCCTCTATGGGCTGTCGTGCCACTGAGTTTAGTTTAGTTTAATTTAAACATAAAATGTATGTTTTGATCACAGTAAAATATTTTTTTAAAATTACTCAATAGAAATGAAGCTATCTACTTAGTTTAGTTAAAATTGCTCGGGCCTTCTGGTTTCACGCATGGAACCATAGGGTTTTTTGGGATGAAATAATAGGAGTTCCGGGAGTTAGGCTATTTTTTCACCTCTTAAATATTTCGGGGTTTTTTTGCGAAATTACATACTGTAAAATTTCCAGTAAAAATGTAGCAAAATACCAAATTATATACAGATATTTTCCAACAATAATAATTGTAAATGATTCTCATGAAACGTTTCCATTTCAAATAGATAATTATGTTGTTTTGATATTACTTTCTCGAAGGTAACTCTTATTTTTCCAAAAAAAAATTTGGTTTATTTTATTCCATTTTAATTAATACGTACACCATAGAAAAAAATCAGAACTAGAATCCGCTCTAGACCTGCAAATTCAACAGCGTCACATTTTACCTAATTCTAAGATTGTTATTCATAAAACAATCTAAAAAAGTTTTTAATTTTTCAAATTAATCATATACAAATTAATTTATAGTCCTTTTTTTCTTTTTTGCCATTGTATCCCCAGCTGCTAATAAACTTTATTTTTCAATTCTGGGTTCTAGAGCCAAAACCAAATTTCCTGAACTTTCATAGGTTTTGGACTCAAATTTTTGTCCGGTTTCCTGACTAAACTATTAAGACCATATTTCTAAACATTCACTTTATTTTGAGTGTTAGAAAACCGAGGCAACGAAGCATAAAACTAATAAGTTTTATAGCGTCAAGTTTTGTTTGAAATAGTTTCTTCTGCGGTTTGTTATCGTATATTTTTGTAAACTCTCGTTGCGGTAATATAATTCGTATTATAAATGGAAAACAATGTAGGTAAGTATTCGTTGTTTTAATAATTGTTATTGTTACATTACGGGGTAAAAAGACATCACTCTCTTTGATTTTTCGGGGGATAACTTCATATCATGATCAAATTCTGTCAAATAATATGTAGTAAAAATTTAAAGTGATGAGCAAAAATGTAGAGGTATTTAAGAATATTTCTAAATTCCGTTCGTTCTCATAAAAAATACCCAAAATGAAGTGTTAATGGGAGCTCTTGTTAAATTTTTTTGTGCTTGTACTTTTATTGTTTCTTCCATATTGTATTTTTTTACTTCCAAATAATGGTGCATTTATGAACTTCAAAATTCAACTGAGAGATATTGTTTGTGGTTACAGCCTACCTTTTTCAACTGTTCAACCGCGTCTAGGTCAACCATTTCGAAATTTTTGCAGATGTATTTTTCCGCAAGTGATATTGGCTCAAGAAAATATTTGTATAGATGCTCTAAATATTTTGGATATCACTTGCCAAGGAGTTCTAATTTCATTAATATGAACCCCCAAAAGAGATGATTAAGTTCAAGGAGGCCATAAGGGAAGACCACCAGCGTAGAAATCAAGAATCTGTTACTCCAAGATAGGAAAACCGCGTAGATAGGGTCAGATTACATCACTTAACCCATTCCAATATTTCGATATCGGTACCTGTTCGCGTCAACTACGATAGCAAAGGAGCAAAAGTATTTTAAATTGAAACAATTAAAATGTATATAAGTAGAGGTTTGCCCAACGGTGACTACGAGTATATTCTTCGAGTCAGTTTCTTTTTGTGATTTTCAAATGTCTTTCGAACTACTTCCTGGAAGTCACCAAGAAAACTCAATGATTGTAAAATTTCAATGGAAGGTCCTGTAGCATTCCTTTTACAACCTCGATCTCTCTTTATGTAACTTTCCTGTCTCTGGTCTCTTAAAATATTATCATGAAAGTCAAAGCTTATGGTGTATCAACGNTTTATTTTATTCCATTTTAATTAATACGTACACCATAGAAAAAAATCAGAACTAGAATCCGCTCTAGACCTGCAAATTCAACAGCGTCACATTTTACCTAATTCTAAGATTGTTATTCATAAAACAATCTAAAAAAGTTTTTAATTTTTCAAATTAATCATATACAAATTAATTTATAGTCCTTTTTTTCTTTTTTGCCAGTGTATCCCCAGCTGCTAATAAACTTTATTTTTCAATTCTGGGTTCTATAGCCAAAACCAAATTTCCCGAACTTTCATAGGTTTTGGACTCAAATCTTTGTCCGGTTTCTTGACTAAACTATTAAGACCATATTTATAAACATTCACTTTATTTTGAGTGTTAGAAAACAGAGGCAACGAAGCATAAAACTAATAAGTTTTATAGCGTCAAGTTTTGTTTGAAATAGTTTCTTCTGCGGTTTGTTATCGTATATTTTTGTAAACTCTCGTTGCGGTAATATAATTCGTATTATAAATGGAAAATAATGTGGGTAAGTATTCGTTGTTTAAATAATTGTTATTGTTACATTGCGGGGTAAAAAGACATCACTCTCTTTGATTTTTCGGGGGATAACTTCATATCATGATCAAATTCTGTCAAATAATATGTAGTAAAAATTTAAAGTGATGAACAAAAATGTTGAGATATTTAAGAATATTTCTAAATTCCGTTCGTTCTCATAAAAAATACCCAAAATGAAGTGTTAATGGGAGCTCTTGTTAAAATTTTTTGTGCGTGTGCTTTTATTGTTTCTTCCATATTGTATTTTTTTACTTCCAAATAATGGTGCAATTATGAACTTCAAAATTCAACTGAGAGATATTGTTTGTGGTTACAGCCTACTTTTTCAACTGTTCAACCGCGTCTAGGTCAACCATTTCGAAATTTTTGCAGATGTATTTTTCCGCAAGTGATATTGGCACAAGAAAATATTTGTGTAGATGCTTTAAATATTTTGGATATCACTTGCCAAGAAGTTCTAATTTCATTAATATGAACCCCCAAAAGAGATGATTAAGTTCAAGGAGGCCATAAGGGAAGACCACCAGCGAAGAAATCATGGATCTGTTACTCCAAGATAGGAAAATCGCGTAGATTGGGTTAGATTATATCACTGAACCAATTCCAATATTTCGATATCGGTACCTGCTCGCTCCAACTACGATAGCAAAGGAGCAAAAGTATTTAAAATTGAAACAATTAAAAAGTATATAAGTAGACGTTTGCCCAACGGTGA